AAATGTTTGCTATACCTACCAACTCAGGAAGGGCACCTGAAAGTTACTAAAAGTTAAGGACAGATATCTATTGCCCACAATGACAAGCAAGTTTTAAAAGGCTGCCAAGAATAAACAAATAAAGCATCAAGCAACGTATTTGAAATTAATTCCTTTTCTTACCTCCTGCTCCCAATTAACCCCAGGACTAACCCTAATAAGTGGTTTATGGATTGCAGCTTGTTGTACATTCACATACTGACCACTCAGGCAAAAGAGAACATTAAGACTTTAGTCCCTTTAAAGAAAAAAAGTGTGTGTGTGTGTTAAATTTGCTTAAATCCCAATGCCTTGTAACTCAATTGTTTCAACAATCAAGACCATGTAATAACTATAGACTAAGTATATGACGTGATCTGGTGCATGGGGTCGCGAAGAGTCGGACTCGACTGTGCGACTGAACAACAAATGTAGCACAAAGCATTAAGTAATGGGGCAAAGAAAGTTTCAACATTTCTTCTGCTATGATTAGGAGAGACTCTGCTATGACTTCATGCTGGGAGAGACTTCCATTCTTTTGGTTCCACAGGTCTAATTTCTCTGTATCAGTGTTACAGTGAGGGAAAGAACTGTACCTGCTGAAGAACTCTAAATCAGGGTGGAGACTCTAGACAAACTGGAAAAGGAGAGGAAGAAAGCCCCTTTCTCTCCCTATTCAGATGGTACACTACCAGGGAAGGAGGCTCATAGGAAACCATCCTGATTAGGGCAACGCCAACAGTATAGTGAGAGAACCTATACAAGTTCTTACTTGAGACTTGTGAGCTATACAAGGCACCTCTTCCATGGCAACTCTGACTGCTTGCATGTTTGCATACAAGAGTACAAAGGCATTTGATTTGATTCTCATAGATATACAAGAATTTCATGTGACTGATACATAGCAGCTGCATACATGTGCTCCAATTGTCCCTGTTTTAGTAAGGTTTGCCCCTGTTCTGTGCACACCTGTCCTACTCCACTTACAGTTCTTGGTTGCCTCCTTCAAACTGGTTGCAGCAGTTACTTTCACAGGAGGAAATTGTCAGAGGAAGAGCTTTGCCAAGGGAAAGGAAGGGTTTGTAATTTCACAATGACAGATTAATTTTTCTTATCAGAGCTCTGCTCTTAAATATTGTCCCCTGTAATGTCATCTTTCTCTTGCAAATTTGGCCAGATTCAACTACAGTACTTCACACACACCTATATGCTAATTTAAGCATGTCTGTCTTCTATTGATCTTTGTCAGTTATCAGCAGTAAATTTGTATCAGCACAAGTGATAGACTGCATTAAAAAAAGACTACATTCAAACATCACCTGTAACTGCAGTTAATGAAAAATATGCGTGAATTAAGCTGAAATAACTCTCGGGGGGGGGGGAGAATTGTCATGAGTGTGAATTGCATAATGTTTTAGTTCACTGATGGTCTTGCCACAATGATGTTACCAGGAAGGTCACAACAGATTCCAGTGGCAAGGTCTAAGGTCATAGAACGTGCAAGCACTGTTGAAGCTAAGTAGGCCTGGGTTTGGTCAGCCCCTGGATGGGAAGCCACCAGGGAACTTGGGCATGCTCTGTGCCTTGAACACCAAGAAAGAAAAGCAGTATATAAATTAACAGAATAAATGTGTCCTTGTAGACTATAGTCTATACACAATATTTCCTTGACAAATCCTTCAGGAGCTGAGTTTGTGTTTTTGTTGGATCGAATCCAAATAAGAAGGATGTAGAAACAGAATGTTGACCTGTTTTGCATAGTTCAGGAAGGATATCTGAGCCAGATTCCACCTTCCATAAACCTACATTTGGTCGGAGTCATACTCAGGTGAGTGTTCAAGAATGCTGTACATCTTCGGAGTTCTAGATTTCCTGTCAAGGTGTTCATTATTGTCAGTTTCTTTGCTTCTCCCAAATTCTTTTTCTAGCCAATGTGTATGCTTCTGTACTGCTTGCACGATCAGGTTTGAAGCTCGAATGCAGTTGTTAAATCAGTAAATGAATTCTTCTTGTAAATTCTTGAGGTGTCTGTTAGGTATCTGATCCATTTCATCCTGTTGCTTTTTATTTATTTTTTTGCCTCCAACTTCTGGGACTAGTTTATCCAAAGAATTACGTCTTCATCAAATTACAATATAGTACCCATTTTCATTTCTTTCTGGACAGCTGCTAGATTTGTATGTGACAATGAGTTCAAACAAGTTGATTCAAGAGCAGAAACTCTAGAAAGTGGAAAAAATATCCATTTTCCCTAATCTGCTATGCAAGAGGATTGGCACTTCAGGCCTGTGTCACTAACAGCTCAGTAGGATACAACTTCTAATTTAAGAGATAAAAATCCACCCTTATTTGCCAGCATTTGCAATTGTTTGCTATTTCCAGCCAATGGGCTTCGGGCTCATAATATGTCTCTTAGTAGATTACTGGTAGTGTTTAAATTATCTATTCAGGATTTACACCAAAGGTACTTTCAGTGTACACACTCTGGTCTGAGGATGATATACATTTTCAGAATATTTTTCTTCCCCCTGTAAACTTCAATCAACCAATCAGCCTTTATTGTCATATAACAATTACAGGGGTGGAAACTAGTCAGAGGGTCAAAAATACTGATTTTACTTACCAAAATTCCAAAAAACCTGACCAAATACTGACAAATTACTGAACAATCTAATGTCGGCCTATTGATAAGCTAGTGTTTTAAAAGTAAAACTAGGACTTCATCACAAATGATTATTATCTGGCCTCCACCATCCCCATAGCCAGCACCATAGTCAGATGTTATCCAGATAAAAGGATTGTACACCTTTTTATTGAATGTTTTAAAATGAAGATAGGACGATGTTTTCATTATTGTTCAAAATTTAACGTAAAAAAAGATTTCCTTTTAAAAATAATCACATATTGTAGATAATAAAACAGCAAAACATATTAAAACCACACATAAAGTAATCATTATGACAACAAAACATAATTACTGTAAGGTAAGACTTGTCTTTGCTTTGACTTTATCTTTGGTTTTTTGATGAAAAAGTTATTAACAAACTCTTTAATTTCTCAACAGTTTTCCACACTGCATCCACAAGCATTTTTTTCTTGTCCTCTTCTTCCATTGCTTTCTCCACTCCTTCTAGCATGAGCTGTGCTGTGTTGAATCCTACCATATCCTTTTTCTCAGTAGCTTCCTTTACACGTTTGGTTGCATCATTTAGCAACGTTCGAGCAGTCATCCTCTTCTTGTTCTGTTGTCTCAGCTTTTTCAGTTTTGCTTCCTTGTATACTATCCTTTTCACTATCTTCTTAAACCTTTCTAACTGCCTTTTCCCCTGCTCTTGCCAACTGTAAAAGCTCCTGTGTGATATTAACATGATATACATTGTTTTCATATACATAATATAAAGTTTCTTTGATGATTAGGTGGGCATTCAAAGTTCTCTCTGAAATCCAGGCCCTTTCATTGGTCAAAATGTGTTCAGTTTTTGAAAACCCTCTTTCTATGTCTATACTACCATGCAATAATGATAATGCTGCTTTCACCACCTTGGTAACCAGTGGGTGTGTCTTTTCAAAGAACTGATTCCAGTATGTATCTATGTGGCAAGTTTCACTGGCAGTTTCATCTTCAAGTCTTAAGAAGTTTCTATTCATCTGCAATCATGTCCAGTGAAATACCCATTGGGAGTGCTGCTGCTACTTTCATTATATCCTTGTGGGTTCCTTCCTTGACCCTCTGTGCTGGAGCTAAACACTGAAGATATCTGAAGATGGGCTTGTCCAAAGATAAATGGAGTAAAAGGTGTTTGCCAGTTGCTATGAAATGTTTTTTTGCTCCTGTTAAAAAGAGTAGCTGTTCCTTTTCAGAAAGTTTTTTCAGTTTGTCAGATTCTACTTTCACTGATTACTTCTCTCACAGGTCTGTAGTGCTCATCACTGAAGGCTTCAAGAGACAATGGTGCTGAACTCTTACAAACACGATTCATTATGGTTCTTGTGAGTGTTTTGACTTCACTGTGCATCACATGCACCAAAGGCTCTTCTTTCTGGAACACTCCAGTAAACTCTGTAAATGAACAAGCACTCGTGCAAAAAATATCACCTCTGCTTTCATTGTCTCATGTTTTAAGAGGTTAATTATGTCTCTATACATTGTGGAAAATTTCACCAAATCACTTTTACTCTTAGGAACAAAGTCCTTAAAGTATTTCATAACTGAACTAAAAACAATCTGTCTTCTCAGTGGGAAGTAATCATGTTTTCCCTCAAAATGCAGTAATGAAAACAACCCACCCCCACAAACTGCATTCACAAAAATCAAAGAAATACTGACTTAACTGACCATTTAAAAAAAAAAAAAAAAACCTGACAAAATACTGACCAAGATGAAAAAAACTGACTTTTACTGATTTTACTGACCATTTTCTACCCCTGCAATTAAGATAAACAAGATACGAAAGTAATAAATTAAGAATATATTATAGAACAATTAGATAATACCCTGAGTTATTTCCGAAGCTTCTCCTGGTGCAGCTTTATGGCAAGCTGTAAGAACTTTGACACCTTCTCAGTTATATCAGGGGAGGAATCATTCAAAAGGCAGTAAACCTTGTAGGAATAGGACGGGCCTGTCATATTAGCTAAAATGGAGCTTAAATATTTAAAATGAAACCACCAAACCCACATAACGCACCACTTGAACACTCCCGATAGCGCCTGAGAGAGCGCTCTCAAGCGCAGAGCTCGGAAAAGGTGGAGCCAAGTCTACCACAAAGAGGGGCAGAGACAGAACAGCACGCGCGCGCGCAAACATACTTCCGACCGCTTTCCTTCTTACTCCTTCCCTTCCTGGTTCTTTATGGTTTCTGAAAGTGGGAGGGGAAGAGGAAAGAGGGAAAGGTGGAGTGTCATGAGTAGCTTTCTAATTGGTCCGGGTGGCTGCGATCGCCTTCCCCCGCCCCGTGGTGCGTGCCGGCCTCCCCTTTTTTTTAATCTCCCCCCGCCTCCTTTCTCCCGCTTCGAAGGTTCCACCGGCGCGCCGCTGTGGTTCCCACCTCCCAACTCAGAGGCGGTGGGTGGTCGCTTGGAAAAAGGGGCGCAGATGAGGCGCGAGCCCTGAACCTGGGAGCCCTGGAAGGGTGGCGAGAGGTAACGTGCTCCCGTTCTCGCCCACCAAAGCTTTACCTCCCTTACCCTGAGTGCTCCCCGCACACCTGGAACTTCCCGGTGGGTATCCCTTTTTCTCTTTGCCTTTTACACTTTCCCCATCCCCGCCTTTGCAGGCATTCGCACCTTCTCCCCAGCTGGGGGAATAGGGATCCGTCCTGTGTTTGGATGGCTCGTTCCCCACTTCTGAGTCCAGGCGCCTCAGGGTGGCTTTCAGAAGTGACACATTCGCACGTGCCGCTCAAAAAAGCGTCTCTTTTTAATGCGTGGATGTTGTTCGAGAGGAGTAGAAAATGCTGTTTTGAAATCGACCGGCCCTTCTAACCCAGGCGATAAGTGTAGCAGTGGAACGTTTGTAGAGACGTCTTTAGACCGTTGATACCCCGAAGCCCCTCCTGGGCTAGCTGCATTCCCTTTCTGTATTTCAACACCCAGCCTGATGAAGACTTCTCTTGAAACTCGAAAGCTTGCCCGCTGTTTTGTGTTATTTTGGTTGGCTGTCATAAAAGGTACTACGCAGCTTTGGGGATTGGATTTTGCTTTGGCTACTATGAGTAAACTTGGTTACAGAGGAGGAAAATACAAAAGCCATTTTGAAAACTCTGAAGCAATTCGGGCACCACAGATCTCTACTTTCATATATTACATACCCACTTAAGCCTAGTATACGTTTCCGTGACTTCAAATTTCAAATTATTGAATAGAGGGTATTTTTGATTTGATTTTGATTTAAACTTGGTTGATGTAAGAGATGCACACAGGTGCTTAAGGCTGCAATCCTAAGCACATTTAATAGTATCATTGGACTCAGTGGGATTTCCTTCTGAATATACATGCTGATGGTTGAGCTTTTAAGCTTGGTCTGTGAAACTGTCTTTAAAACTGCTACCTTAAACTCCTTTTCTAGGGACCAAGTCCCATCCAGTTTAGCGGGACTTTTGAGTAACCATGCATATGTTTGCACTGCACATCTTCTGTCTTGCATTAATATTTACAACGGAGACATTCTAAATGTAAAGGTGACGTCCAGTGCTATCCTAAGAACACTTTTCTGTAAGTGCCGCTGAATAGACATGAGTTGCATTTGGAGTAGATGCACTTCGGATTATTCTGATCAGTTGTAAAAATAACCTATCCATATATGGCGATACTCAGATTATGGAAAATCTGTGGTAGTTAGATAGTTACGACAGTTAGGCATTAGATTAAATTTTAATTTGTTCTTAATGTTTTATTGATGTATTTTAAAATTTTGGAATACTGTAAAGGGGTACCTCTTTTTGTATAACTGGTCTAAGGACCATAACACTGAACTGAACCTATCCATATGCTTTGACAACACTTGGGTGCCTTGTGGCCAACAAACTGTTAAACTCAGCTCTGTTCAATCTCTTTTCATCTTGTCTTTCCTTTTGTACCCCTAGAAGCTCGTTGATTCATGAACCTTGAGCAGCAGAAAACACTTATTTCTTATTTTTTTGATACAAGGGCTAAAAGGACTGAGACAAATTTTGCAATTGCTAGAGTGATCTTGGGATCCTTGTAACTGAGAAAAATAGTTTCCGGAGTATAGGGGGACAATTATTGAACTTTATGTACAGTATATATAACCTAGAGTTGTCTGAGTTTGTAAAATATATATGGAATTAATACAATAGCACTGCCCCCCTGCCCCACTTACTACCTTCTCTCTCCATTCCTTGCTTTTCCTTCCTTGCTTTCTTCCATTACTTGCCTTTCCTATTTGTTCTTTAGCGTTTTCTTGTTTATATCTTTTTCACTTACTGTTGAGATAATGCTGCGGAAAAGCCGAGCAGATGCTTGGTTGATGGTTAATTCTTCCTATAAATTTCGTATTCTGCCCTTCCTACAAGGAGTTCAGGGTGCTTTTCATGGTTCTCCCCTCTTTTCTGTGCTTGCAACATCCCTGTGAGGTAGGTTAAACTGAGAAAGACCGGTAATCTGGTGAGATCCTGGTAAAATAAAGGTTAAACCCAAGTCCCCACGTCCTGCTCTAACCACCACACCACACTAGCCCCCTAGATTCAGTATGCTGTTTTGGCAGTTTCCGTTTCTGACACAGATTCAACTTGATTTGCATTTTTCACAATAAAAGCATCTGCAATGTAATATGAAAGCAAATATGTAATCTCTTAATTTTTTCCCGACACCTAACATTTATTCTAGTATTCTAATATGTCAAGTATTTATTTTAATACGTGGACTAGAATTGCAGTATAATTCTATGCACTGTTACTTAGGAGCAAGCCCCACTGAACACCATGGAACTTACTTTTGAGTAAACATGTATAGGATCCGACTTCTCATCATCTTAATAGTACCTGAACATCTGATGTACTTTCTCATACTTGGAGGATTCTTAACCCTGATAGCCTTACTCTGGATTATTTAGTGCAAACTATTGGAGCAGTGGCTCAGATGCTGAACTGCAGGCTGGAAGGTCGGTAGTTCAGCAGTTTGAGACCCGAGTGCCGCAAGACGGAGTGAGCTCCCATCTCTGGTTCCAGCTTCTGCCAACCTGGCAGTTCAAAAGCAAAAAATTGCAAGTGGTTAAATATGTACCACTTTGGTGGGAAGGTAACAGTGTTACGTGCGCCTTGGCGTCTAGTCATGCCAGCCACATGACCACGGAGATGTCTTCGGACAGCGCTGGCTCTTCGGCTTGGAAACGGAGATGAGCACTGCAACCCTAGAGTCGGATTTGACTGGCTTTCAAGCAAGGGAAACCTTTACCTTTACTTTATTGGAGCAGCCAGGTTCTTGATGCATCAGCTGGGCTATTTAAATTCTTGGAGTTTCAAAATACTGGCAATGTCGTATCAACT